ATTTCGAAAGGTGCACGAGCCGCAAACTCTTTGTTGCCCAATATCGTTTTAATTCTCGGTGAGTCACATAAGTTTTGTAAACAATAATAGTAGCCACGAAACAGTACAGCGGGCAGCAGCTGTCGTTGAAACGATTACGACACAGTCTGCCTTTCGTTTCTCGTAATCCGCCTTTAATCTCGTTAATCGTATTCGTCAGCTACTTTCGTAGATCTCGCAGATAATCATTTTCCTGCCCTCAACGCGATTTTACTTAATTATCGATCGCAGTTATGCTAATGCGTTGCGCTACTCATCCTTTATTACTACTCCTGCGTTTCTTTTCCTCTCCGTCGCCTAATAGCAGTCCCATGTTAGCCACTGATTACAGGAGGGAACTCGCCACCGTTGAGACTAATCATTAATAACGCATTGTATTTCCGTAGCGATCTCGTGATCCACTTTCATAAAACGCAGTTTTCCCCGTCGCCAAACGAGTACGGTTTTATCGTCGTCATTTATGGTCTCATTTCCAGTTCCGCTGCCTGCCAAATCAAATGAATCGATAGTAGAACTACTGCAATCCAACAAGTTCACTTTTTCTGGCAGGTTTTGCACTCGCGTTTTTTGATAAAACAGAGTAAGAGCTTGTAGCTTAATTCCATTGTTCCAAATAGACGTGGTACGTTGGAACGTCGGGTTAATCACTAAATCGAGTTAGGCAAATTACGTAAAACGATATCGAGGTTAATTTGATTCGATTTTTGGTGAATTGCGCGTAAAGTTAAGCAAATAACTCTCCTGTTGGATCACATTATCGGGTAGCGGTGAACCAATCGTGACGCATCGCAGCTGGTCAAACGTATGCAATGGTCTAATTACATAACGCGGTTCGTGTTTGGCGATACCTACGTCAGTTTGTTTTAAAAATGTATTTGCAATTAATATGTATCGTTCGTCAAAACCTGTCCCATCAGCAGTTTTGACGACTCCGTGGCGAGAATTGTTCGCGGAATGTTTTTACGAGACGCCGAATGCAATCGAACAAGAGTCACGGTTCGATCCAATTAGCTGTTTTTCCCTGATGAGGCGATACTCTGACCGTAATAGGCCCGAAGAAATTGCACAACGCTTAATACTGATTACCACAGGTTTCCTTTGCTCTCGTCCCCGTTAATGCTTACGGACGTATCCGGCTCTATTGCAGCCGGTATTGTTGCGCGGCAATGGCAAGGACTTCGACGAAACGCGGTAAAACTTTTATTGGCCGATCGACGTTTAACAGAAAACTCATTTATTCTAATATTTCTTGAAAGGCTGGTTATTAGTTACGCTATGCCACTGGCAGTTGCATTTTCTTATTTGTCGAATGGCATAATCGCGTTTAGTGCTTAACAGCTCTGCTTCTCGCAGGTCAAGTCGTTCGACCAACAAAATTCTAAGACTGGTTACGCCACCGGACAAGCTTAGTAAATCGCATTGAAATCGCTATACTTTAGAAACATATGTTTCGCGCATTGCGTTTCAATTGAAAAGGTCAGAGTACTCGGAGAAAGGAGCATAGCCTTCTTTTCTGTAACAACGTTTAATGGATCTTAATCAGTTTTTGTAATTCATGCAACACGCGGATGGATCTCGCTGTTGCGATACCGTGCGATCATTGCCTGGCTCGTTACGGGCCATTGCCGTTCAATTACGAGCCCCCCCTACCTCGGAGAAGGCTTAGCTCGCATAATCGTTTTCCTCCGAGGGAAAGTGAACGAGAAACAGCGCAACGCTCAGAGCCCAGCCGAGTACTGCGTCACCGTGAGGTGTAACGTTAATTAAAATAGATATATTTTCAAAGTTTTTTGAAGTATTACTCATGCCTGTGCTATGCGAATCCGTCCAGCTGGTTGATAAATTTCCGATTGGCTGATTTAACGAATTGATAAGAATCTGTTGTAACAGAAGTTACAGTTACAGAATAAATAGTTAATTACTACGGTTTACAGTCATTAGGACTTTTGGTTCTCAGTTGCAATTAGAATGCAATTACGACATAGTATTATTTCTGATGTATCTTTATTACTTGAAGAAGAATCCGATCTCATAATTTCTCCTAACGACCAGGGGACGGAGGAAACAAATATGTGAGAAGGACTTATACGTCATCGCGTGTAATTAGATTAGACCCGGTACGAAAATTACCTCCGCAATGAGGAAGGAAACACGGTGATTGCCACAACTGAAAACGTGGCTTGTCATTCTCTTTTCGTAATTGGCAAACAGCTTCTGTTCGCGAAATCCGTGGCCACTGAGCCGGATAAAAATCAGTGTACGTTGAAACGAAATTTTTTTACTTATCGATGGAACCTGGATTTGCATAATTGAAGGGAATAGGATATTCGAATAATAACAAGTGGCCGAGAGGTATGATAAATCGAAGATACCTGGGCCCATTCGTGCCAGTCTCTGTTCACTCTGCTTCCTCGTTTCGGTTATTTCCCTTTCTATCGAGCGGATGTCTGTTTCTTCGAGCAGAAAGCGACAGGAGCTCGGTCATTAAGTTAGAAGTCCGATAAAGTGTGCCGGAAGATGTATTGCTAGCTACGACTGTATAATTAGAATAATAGTCCTGTCGTGGATGTTTTTACCTTCGATATCAGGAAACATTATTATTTATGCTTGGGAAAAGAAAAGCGACAGTCCAGCAATTTTTAATTCGTATCTTTCGAGTATAAAAACGATGAACAAGAATGGTTTGTAAGAAATCGATAGGAGTCTTATAAGTGTTTTGTTAGGACAATCAATTTTATTTCATAATAAAACTATTTATGTCTGCGATGTAGGAAGACACCCGAACAGGATTCGTGACTCAACTGGTACATGGAAGACCTTGTCACGCGCACGGTTTCGCGATAGGCAATTTGCAATTATTCACGCTGGTCGGTTCATGGCTACGTAATTTGTAATCGAACGTTCGAATTAACCGAAAGTAACAGATGCTTCGCCGAGAGGCTATCTTTAATGCTCGTCTATCCATCTATGACTCACCCTCTATAATAGATAGTAGAATTCATATTCTATAAATGAATTCTTTTAGTTAATACCGATATTGCATATAAATTATCTACGCTAAGTAGAGATTAACGTCAGGTAAAAAAGAAGGGACGCGTGTTTAAAAAAGGCTCGCGGAAAGAAATCGGTGTTTCCTGAAATAAGTACCTGCTACATATTAGTGTGGGAGCGTAATCGACAGCAAAACCACCGCAGCCAGAGTAAGTGGAGAACAGGATGGAGATCCGTGAGTCATGAATCTCCGCTAGTTGCCTCCGGCGAAGTTACATGGAAAAAGCATCCATACGCGTTTCTTGTCTGCCATGTGCATCGCGCACGTGTTTACCTTTCTTTCCAGTTCCTGCAGACATACATACATATACCTGTGCACGGTTTCGTGCAGCAAGTTCGTTTTTACCGTATTCTTTTCATATACCATTCCTTTATTCTATTCATTTCTTTTATTCAAGTATAGTTCATGGAATATGTAATTAGTAGTGTTCTGATTTAGATAATGGTTGAATAAAATCTGAGGGAGATAATAAATAATTGAGCCGAGGACAATGAGATGTTTGGCATTGATACGTTCAACGGTATGCATTGTTAGAGAGACATCAGAAGTGACATGATTGCAGAATTTCATAGAATACGTGTGAAATACCCATGCGATTAGCTTATTAAGTATCGTTATAAAATTTACGGTACGGGAACGTGTGATTTTTATCGAGCTTTAATTTAATGCGTTTTATTTATATGAAATCATATTTGTGATTGTAAATAGATTATGCGAGGTTGGTCTACGGTGATCTCGCAGCGATCCGGTGGCTTTTAGCTTCGCGGGCGATCGGTCGATGAATAACTACGTGAGACCAAGGTCGTACCTTCTAGCTTAATACATTCCGCCGACAACGAACTCTCGCGATTGTTCGTGTGCGAACGTCTGCATTATAATCGCTCGCGAATTCGTACCGCGAACCCGTACTCCAACATTGCGTGAACGCAACTTGCAGTTAATTAAAATTCTATCGTTTTTCCGCAAACCGCGCGCTGAAACTGCCCCCCTCCCCACGTTCACTCGGGCATGCAGAAGCAGCAGCATAATAAAAAGAAAAACAATTTCTATCTTAATGAGGGATGCATAATCTTTCGTGTCTAATGTTTGTCGAATCATCATATATGCATATCCAAGTCAAAATGCTTGAAAATTTGTAGTAAACTTGAGAAATCGGCGCGCAACCTTTGTAGCATTGATGATGAAAGTGACTGCGGTTTAAGCGTTGTTACGAAACCAGCCAAACATTGTCCTTTCACCGGATCCTCGTAGGTCTGGAGCACTGGCGTCATTGGTGTACCTGAGAGAAGTAGGTGAGACGTGAGTCACACCGTGTATCTCTTTAAAATTCGTCGAACGACGCGACGTAACGAGTGGGAAATTTCGAGAAACGAGACGCAAAATCCAGTCTTTTGATATTCCTATCAGGGACGTAGCTTTCGTAGCCTTCGTAGATGAATCGCGGAGGTCGAAAGTAGCCAAGCGAGTGATTTTACAAGCAGCTGGTGAGGTAAACCGCCGTTGCAGTTGGTTTCCTGGTTCTATTCTTGCCACGGTAATTTAATAAGTTAAATGTCACAAGGAGAAATTATTCTTGTTCGTATAAAAATAGGAACATTGCCTGAGTATTGAGAAACGTTCGTACGTTCTTCAAAGTGCTAACGTCGTGTTCTCTGCGTCGTTATATCGATTGTTCTGCGTATACAAACGTCTAATCATTTAAATATGATTTCGAGATTACGTGCCTGGGAACACGGCTGGTAGAATCGATATCATTTGCTTTTATACAAATTACCAGTCCAGTGTTTCAACACGTGCCGCGAATAACAAGTCGACTTTCAACAGAGTCACGCTGGATAGCCTGTTAATTGGCTTCCATCGATCGCTCATAACAGTCTTAACGTTCTCGCTGCTGTTTTGTTTTGCATAGGGTCTGGAACAAGAGAGGCACCTGCTGCGGCGACGGCTGGAGGAAGCCCGAGGCGAGAGCGAGGCGAGAACTTTAGAGTTGCAGGCGGACGTCGAGACGCTCAAGAGTCAGTTGGCGGAGCAGAATGAACGAGCGAGACGAGCGGAACGCGATCAGGCGACGCTGGTCGCCGAGCTCACAGCTCAAAACACGAGGCTCGCCGATCAGCTGAGGGAGGCCGCCAAACAGGAAGAGCAACTCCTCATCGAGGTCAAGGTGCTCAGGGAAAAGTGCGCCCTCAGGAGTACCACGCTCCAGGACCACGTCAGCAGTCTTGAAGTTCTCAGGGACGAGGTAAATTAATACGTATCACGTCGTAACGTTTCGTTCTATAGTTAATTAAATATCATCCTTGTATCCATTCGCCATATTTTCTCCCGATTAAAACGTCGTTTGTTTTAAATGTTAATCAACGGTATAATGAATAGAAGTGATAATTAATCGTATTTTCTTTTGAGTAAGAAATACTTTTAAACTCGGTATTGATACGGTAATTTATAATATTGCTCGGCTCACCTAATTATGCAATCGGCCTCGTAACTTTGACGGGAATTCGTGTCGAACGATCATCTCGATTATGTAGCGAGCCTGGTTTCTTTTCATCGCTGATCAGCTCGTTGGATAATCTCGGTGGTGAATTATTCTGGGAACCGAGTCGGTCGTTTACCGTTGCGACCGGTTAATGGATATTGTTAGGAGAACAAGTTGAATATGCATGACCCTGGGCGGTATCAATGGGCCGTGTACGTACGAGGATCTAATTCGAAGCGGGTCGCGAGAGGAAACCAGCGTAGCCGTGAGAAGTTCGAGCGCGGTCCGGGTAGAACAAAGCCAGAAAGGCCGGTTGCGAGTCGTGACCCTCGACGATCGACTTGACTTGCCGCCTGTCCTTCGCCTCCTACGCCTTTTGTTCTCTTCTTACGCGGGGCAAACTCGAGTTTCAGGAAACGCCCTTCACGCGTGAATCCGCGTTTACTGTAACGCACTCGCGTTACGTCGACATGATCGATTTGCATCGCGAATCGAATAGTTGCGAATCGATCGAGCTTGGGAGAGCATGATATAAGATTGACCTTGGAGAATTAAAACCCTGTTCCTTCAGTAATGGAACAGAACGATCGGTATTCCCTTTCACGTATCTGTTACAAGGCCGCGTGAAAAGAACGCAGAAACAGATACTATCTAATTCAGTAGCATTATTAAATTCTCTGTTTTGCTAATTAACATACTACTGAATCTTATTCTGTCGATACGGCACTGCCTACGAGTTTCTCCTTACGAAAGAAGCGGAAGCGCGATCCGACGTATCGTGTGACGTTTAAGATCGTGGGTCGTAGACAGTTTCAAACAAACTGATTGGCAATGAGAAATCGAACGACGCACAGTGTATTGAACACAGGCATGTATTCCAGGTGCAGCTGGTGTCCGCGCAAAGATCGGATTTGGAGAGGAGGTCCTTGGAATTGCGACAGGAGAGGGCGAGGGCGATGGCAGCTCTTGAAGAAGCCGAGGATCGAGCTGCGGCCTTGGAAAGGCTTAGCCACGAGGCGGAGCACAGGGCAAAGCTCGCCGAACACGAAAGGTGAGGTTTGTCATTTTTTCTCCGTCTTAATGTTCTCTAATAATCATCATCGTTGATTATTGCCAAACTCTGTGCGTTTTGATGTTAAATAAAGCGAAACCGTGTGAAGAATTTGCAGAAAATGCCTTAGAATTGATTGGCAAAACAATTTCTTAATAGAAATTAGTTCCTAGGCACCTGGTAGTTCACACAAATTAAAACCGATTTGTTCATTCGCGATAATTGTTTTCCTTTCTCACTGCCCACGTGTAAATGAGAACTGTTCCGCGCTGAATAAGGGAAGGGTACGTTTTAAACGCGTTCCGCGAACTACGCACGTTCCCTCGAGTTTTTCCAAGGAACGGACGTAGGTGTTACGCTTGCATCGAACGGTGAACTCGATATTTCTCGACGATAGTAATCGTGTTTGCCGAAGGTTATCGCGTTCGAAATGCGGTCGTCTGCCGATAAACGCAAAACTGGACGATCAGTTTGTGGAATCGAGTCAACACCGTTGCATCGACTTTTGAATATACGATCGTTTATCGAATCCGCAGGGACGAGCTGGCTGCGACGCTGGCGGCCATCGAGGCAGGAAGGAAAGGTAGATCCGGCTCGACACAATCCGGCTCGATGCAGAAGCCGCCGAGGTCTTTGCAAGCAGAAATGGAATGCGAGGAGAACGGAAGCTCGTTGGGCGACCAACAAGAGGACCTGCGTGCCGAGGTGGCCACGGCGATGAAGCGACTGAAGGAACTCTGCGTTCATTTAAGACGGGGAGAGGACGACTCCGGTTTGCAGAGCGACTGCGACGAGTCCATGCTCGTGATCGTGAACAACACCGCGGAAACGGAGCAGGCGAACGCCAACGGGCAGGAAACTCTCCCTAGCACGGTAAGGGCCTGCGTAACCCACTCCTTTTGTTTCGCGACTTCCGGTTTCCTGTTGCGCAATACGGCTAGGGGAAGCTCCGTCGAGTGCGCCCACGAAAACGGCAAGCGTGCTCGGTTAACCGATCGGAACACCCGGCTTGATCGTAGATAACGAATCGAGCGTGACCGTATTATACTCTTCAGCGGTCATCGTATCTCTAGCTACGTGCATGTTACACATAAAATACAATGATTAAATGTTGGAATCAATCAATTAATATATTTCTCGTGATATGAAACAACGATAATCCTTGTAGAATTATCGATTTCATTAACACGCACAAGAGAAAACGCTACAGTGGCCTATAGCAGTGGAACACGCACAAGAGATATCGTTATCTACTCGCAAAGTCTATTTATACAGCGTGTTCTGATAAGATTTGCATTGCACAGAGATAGCTCTCGCCGATCCATTAGATTAGAGTATATCGAAAACGCCATATGTACAAACAATTACTTTTTGCAGACGAATAATTGCCCCGGCGCCTTATTGGATTTGGTAGAGGAAGCTTTCAATCTCGCTCTCTCCGGTAGAGGAGCACCCGGCGAATTGGGTCTTGCCGTGGAGCTTCACAGGGTACGCGAGGAGTTGGAACAGACGAAGGATCAGTTGAAGCAGACGCAGGACGAGCTGAAGAGACGCGGCGAGGCTCTGCTTGATATGACGAGCAAGTTGAGCGTGTGCGAGGCGGAGCTGCGCGGCGTGAAAGAAGAACGCGACAGGGCTCGCGACGACATGGAGCACTCGCAGTTGACGAAGGACGAAGTCCTGGCGCAAGCGTACAAGGTCAGGGACCAGGCCGTGGCTAGGAAGAACAGGGCGGAGGTCGAGCTCGCGAAGACGAGGATAGACGTTCTCCAGGCTAACAGCCAGCTGATGGAGGCTATTCAACAGAAGATCGAGCTCAGTCAACAGTTGGACCAGTGGCAGATGGACGTGCAATCTCTTTTGGACGAGCACGTGAAAAGCAAATTGATGCCTGTCACGAACTCCATCACCTCCGCGAATTCGGAGAACTCGGAGATCGTGGCGCCGGCGAGGAAAAAGAGGAGCACCGGATCCTCGAGAAAGATGTTCGGTTTGTTTTGACGAAAATGACTGTTCGCGTGAGTCACGTTGCGCGAAATGGTATTTAAAATGGACACGCCGGTGAACACGGTGAGAGAAGAAGACTGCGCTCGAAGGGAGGTTCTTTCGCGCACTTTTCCAAGTGGCAGCTACGAATCGGGGGCCATTCGACCGTTCGTGAAACCGAGCGGCGAACCCGCCGTAGAAAACACTCTGAGCGAATTTTTTACACGATCGACAAGTTGTACGTCGAGTCTTTCTCTACTCGAGAAATCTCGTTACGCGATAGCTAATTTACGACGCTTTGTTTTACGATGTTGCTTCGTTTATGGGACTTTTATCTTCCTCAGCCAGTTAGATTTCCTTTAACTGTCCTATAAATGATACTGTCGAGTATCGTAGCATACAAATTCAGAGCAATGAAAGAAAGTATCCTGTTTTGTCGAACGAGGAATCATGGAGAACGTCAAGGAGTAATCCGATTGCTGACAATGATTTTACGGTGAAACGTGAACGTGTCTGTCCCCTTTCCGCGCACGATTTCAGAATGTCTCGTCATTCCGGTAATCGCGGAACGCCTGGTTACCGCGGCGAAGACCGATCTCTAGTGGTATCTTCTCAAGATCTCCAGACTCGCGGGCACAGACTCGTCATTATTCAGAAAGCAATGAGTTTAAGTGAAACTACGGCTGACTTCCTCGTTCTCAATTTTTTTCATTGGACATCGCGGTCTAAAAAAAGAGATATTCCAGTTCGGTGTAAATAAAAGGTGGCATTTGTGATAGACTCGCGTGTATTACGATAGGTTTTATGACAAAGGAATTTCTTATCGTTAATTGCGATACGCATGTATATATATTTTATCGCTGTTACGATAAATTTTTTATGATCGAATTTTATATAAGTCGGCGTTATCGTTGTTGCTAGAAAGATTATTGATTAATGAGCAAAACTTTAATGGTTTGTATTTCTGTATTTCTTTTGTTCTAAACGTCTATCCATCCGTCCGTCCGAGTGGACCAGAAAATTATAGTAATACAGCCATAGAAGGGAAAAGTTTCGGTTATCAGCTGGCGTGGAGAAAATCGAAAGCGAGCCAGCTGTGAGCCCTAAGCCTTTTCAACGACGAGTGTGCAATACGAATTGTGGTAGAGAAATTTGTCGCGTTCAACCGCGACGATGTTCCTCGACATTGTTTATGCCCGTTCCAGGTCGAACGGTTAGCTTTAATTAACGATCGACGTTAAGGAGTGACAACGAAGCGGTTGCACTGCGGATCACTCGACTTAACACGAACGCACGCAATAGCCTTAATTGTAAATTAGGAGTGCGACGAACCGTTTAATTAGGTGGTTCGTTACGATTGTACAGTAGCTGTACGATTCCTTCTGATCTGAACGATTGTGACGACGTATTTATTTAATAAAAGTCTGTTTTGAAAAGAAACAAATAGGCGTTTATTCACAAGAGGCAGGTGTAGTTACAGTAGTTTCATTCTGTCGCTTTTATATATGTATAATATTATATATATATATAATATATTTTTTTTTATTTATATATATAATATTATTCTCACGTCCGTTTATAATTATCGATCGGTCCAGCTACGCAATATAAATCGGCATGAACAATGGGGGAGGGGGCGGGTGCATACAAAGTGTTTTCTTATCTCATCTTCATTTGTCACTTATATTCGTACGCTCTAAAACGACACGTAAACTCGTCGGATTAATTACGAAACGCGTCTTTCGGTGTTCCTCTATTTTATATCCTCTCTTTGCTGCTTTTAGAACATATTCTCGCATCGGGTTACATGTTATACGTGCGCGCAGCAAGATTCTATCCCGATATAGAACGAGAAAAGTGGTTTTGTTCCGAATAGAATCTTGTCGGTCACACGTTCTCCGTGCATGATCTCCCGCAACGTCGACAAATAAAATTGATCCTTTCCCTTTATCATCCACGATAAGCCGAAGCCGATCATCACGCGAGCATATGTATAGTTTTTCCTTTATTCCTCGCGTTCTCTCATCCCTTTGTCTCCACCGATTGGTAGCAACAATGCTTTCTCCTCGTTCCCGCTTCCTGTTTTAGAATATTTTTATTAATTGCGACGACAGCGAATTCCCCTATACTTGTACTTGTATTCCCCGTTATATCAACGCGACGATAGTGATCGTGACAACAATAGTATTAACAATGATCATTCGATGATGTGTGTCTCTGCGTGAGTTTTTTACTTTGCACGATTCGCAACTCGAATCGTCGAGCAAATGATAGCGAATGTTCCCGTTCGCACGAGGAAAAGAGTGTTCGTTCGGTCTCGGCCGCCGAGACGACGCCGAGTCGCATTATATTAAATTGCCATAAGGTACAGAGAGGTACGTATTTTTATTTTTTCTTTGAAGATAGAGAGATAGAGAAAGAGAGAGAGAGACACTATAATTATCAATGAAGCTTCGTGTTTGTGCAGAACAACTCTTCTATCAAGTAGATCGCATTTTTTTTTTTTTTTCATTAAGGATATTACATGTCACAGTAAATATAATTAGGTTTGCACTATTCTATGTCAGTTACACAAGTGGCTTCCCTTCTCCTTTATCCTCCTCCACTTCCTGCTTATATCCTCTTTTTTACCTCTTCCAACCCCGCTCATCGGTTGTTTCCCTTTCCATCAATACTCATTCCTTCCCGTCAACGATTTCGTCAAGGAGACAGTTAAGCTACGCGCAATTTGTGAACGTGTGTGTGCATGTGTATGTATTTGTCGTGTTCCACGTGTTCTCTCTTTCGCGTGTGAATGCGTGTGTTGCGTGTATGTGAGTGATGTGTCGGGCCGTCGTGTGCCTCGTATCGTTTGACGTGCGTCGTCACTCGGACGACAGGGTGCAACAATGGGTGGCCTTAGCTCTTAACTTCTGGATTCCTCCCTTTACCGACTTTTAGCCTCCTCCTAAGTTTCTACACGAGTGTATAATAATTATTATTTACATCCACACCACAATTTATAGCCTCCTGATTCGTCGCGCGCCCTCGAGGCTGTCTCATGCCACCCTCGATCGCTCGTCCGAGACCTAACGTTACGATAATATAAATTCAACAACTATATATATATAATATATATATTTATATTTATATATATATATGTATATCAAAGCAAGAGTATCAACGATATATCATATCAATAGCAGAAGAAACGTCGCTAGTTTTTCAGTGAACCTTGGGGGGTCGAGATCCGAGTTTGTTAATACGGAGCGTGGGGTTGCACGGGAGGCCTCGTTGCGCGACGTTCTTTTTTTTTATTCCCCATTTATTAATTATTGTTCGTGACACGGTTACTCAAGCCTACCCGCGTAGAGATTGAGAGTGACCAGATAATGGAAGGAACGTAAAGAACATACCGGTGAAAGGAAATTCGAAGCGGTGGACGAGTCGGAAGGGAATCCCCTGAGAAGATCCATCGACCTCCGCGGGTGTTCCCCTTCGACGTGACATTCAGCTAAAGAGACGAGGCGTTTCGCGCATTGACATGCTCTGTTCTCCTGTGTCTTCTCTGTGATAAAAGGCGGGTGATCCTCGTAACATGTAATTTTTATGTACAAGTAATGGAAATTCTCGAGGTTCTATCTCTTCTCGTTACACCCTCATTCTAGATAATTAATTGTCATCAAGCAGCATACTCAACGCACGCGTTCTTCTTTCTTACACCGTTCACGCTGATCTCCATTCAATATTTTTACCTGCCATCCTTATCTAAACGCTACATAGAAATATCTCTTCGTTCTGGGTCCCGCACAATTTTGTATCATTCACAATGACGATGGCTCCCACGACGTGATCGTCCCTGATGGACGACGTCGACGTACTGCGAGCAAGAAAGCCGTATTTCATCCTCGGGGAAAGGTGCTGGTTCCGTGTCTACGGGAACGTTTCTCCCTTCGTACAAATCATTCCGGTGCATTAATTTAGCCTGCTAGTGGCCTTAGGCTTTCTTGCTGTCAGTTTCGCAGGTCCTTCCTCGCGTCTCATGTGATTCATCCTAGATCCTTGCCCGCTTTTCCGCTCGTTCGTCGAACGACTGTCATTTCCCGCGGGGGGTCAACTCATGCTGCGGCTAATTAGGAACGTTTTCGGCCAGAGGTGAGAAACGCGAACGAGCGGTTCGTCGACTCGGCACGGAGCAGCGTGGATGAGACGTCGGTTCGCTACATCGTCGCGTGTCTAATCGCGAGGCTATCGTACGAAAATAATCGGGGGTTCGGACGAAGTACACACACACACACGTTTCTTCATCGCGTTCTCTGTACAATTCGCTGCAAAAATTCGGCGCGCATGTGGAAAAACTGCCTACAGCTAGAAGGTAAAAAACGAACCGAAGGGAGAACGGATGGTGTACGCGCACGAGTCGATTGATCACGGGTATCTAAGCTACCGATTGATATTAGGCATCGCGAGCACTCGAAACGATGATCGTTCAGCCAGGAAAATGGTACCACCTAGATGAATTTCCGAAATGGAATATCGCCGATGTTGTGCTTCCGTGGATACGTACGTGTGAAAATGATTCGCGCTGCTATTTTCGCCCGACCGACCGAACGGAGTCCCGCTCCTACGTCCGTCGCGCGTTAAAGTTCACGGCTGTGCTCATATGCGCATGAAGAGTCTACGGACGATGTTGCACGTGTACGCAGTGCGCCAGAGTTGAAAAGCATGAAACCGTTCCAGGAAACGGCGTGGCCGCGGTGGCGGTGAAATAAGCTCCGAGTAATTGGGCTCTTATTAGTTTTTACACGGAACTTTATTACGTTGATATTCTCGACACCGTTGCAGTGGACGCACAGCAATTAATTAATTCGTTCAGCGAAGCGCGTTACGACGATGATAACGATTGGTTACACCGTTAACAGCAGAGTGAAGTTTCGTTTTATGTCGTTTCTGCGTAGGCGTTAGCGATCTTTGCACAGCGATTGTGCGTACAGTAATACATATAACATTGTTCAATGCGAGTGTCAAGAAACGGTACGTAGGTATATAGCTTGGGTTCGTCTCGGACTCTTCGTTACCCGTGTGGACTTAAAGGACGGTCGCGCTCGCATTTATCGTATCGCCTTCGTTCCGAGAAGGTGCAAGCTCTTTTATACTTGGCCATAAAAAATAAATTACCTCCTCTTACCTGCCTGCTGTATGAGTGTGTCTCTTGTGTGCTTTGTGATGCGCGTGTATTTACGTTACGTTACGTACGTAAGTACTACTGTATGAGTGTGTTTCGTCGCGTGGGCGTCATTCTATGCGTGTGTCTTCTTCCTATAATTACGCGTGTAGTTTTACGTGTTCGTTAATTCGTATGGTCTGGTCATCCTCGTCTCGTTTCTCTAATCTGTACACCCGAGAATACACATGTAATAAGTTACACATTTAAGCTCTCTATAGCTTGTATGTCGTTCTTTAATTCTTCGAATGCCTCGTGGATACGCTAGAACGCTACTTCAGTCATTCCCTCACTCACGCACGTCGTTCCCTCTTTCACACTCAGCCTCTCTGGACTTGTGTCGGATCCAGCAAAATTTTTACTAAATTTAGCGCGACAAATTATACCATCCCCGTATATATATATACAGATATTTGCTCTATCTCGAGCCGGTGCTCGCCGGACATACCTCGGTTGCGATCAGACGATTTCACATCGCGATGAACGCGATTTCCCGATACAATCGCGAACGCGCAACAATCCTCTCGATTCTGAAGAGAATCCTCCCCTCTATTCTCGCGGCGGCAATCCACGAGCTCCTCCCCTCCATGCCATTCCTCCTTCTCTCATTTATATTTATTATACTTTTTTACTTTTTGTCAGACACTGCGTGTAACATACATAACATCATATCGACACACGTAAGCGTAGTCCACTATAGCTGTGGTAATTAGTATAGCACTCTGTAGAATTCACGATTCAGTCGTTTTAACGTGAGAACAAATCCCCTTACATTCTTTTCTTGCCCTTGTCTTCGGTCAACTTGACCCGCGGCTACGTGTATATCTCTTAGGGATTGCTCTCCCAACGGGCCAACTGAATGCGCCTGTTGTCCAGCGAGGGCGAAAGGAGTGACCTGAGCGACGCGCTCGGCGGTGATCCGCTAAAATACTTCAAGGTCAGGGGCGATTGCAGGTGTCTGTGTCTGATCACCTCTCGCTCAGCAGGCAGGGGCCACAGTTCCTGCGAACCAACGAGACAAGCTACTACTAGCTATGTAAGGCAGGATCGTTTATGGCTCGGTAAAAAATCTCTCTTCCGTGTTTTTCGCTTTCGCTCTAAGAATATTTGAACGTGTGCGTGTGATTATTTACCTGCAGCGAGAGAGCCTCGTCTCAGGACTCACCCTGCTTATTTCTACGTCCAGTCAGTGAGCCAACCAGCGATTTCAAGGTAGCGCCGAGACCCTTTCCGCTCGGAGTGTTCAGGCTGCTAGCGTTTCTGAAGCCCTGCGGGTGTGCATCCAAGCATTTCTGGTACCTCAGCTGCGAAATTACAAAATAGAATTTATTTAAGAAATGTAAATAAATACGAAAGTGTATTCCACGAAATAATTACCTTGCAAGCAGCCTCGATGGTTTTGCAAAGGGCTCCGCTGCTGGGCTCACAGTTAAAAACGTGTGCGATGAATAGATCTTGCGCGGTGTGCATTATGAACGCGCACTGTTTTACGTTACGGCCGATGCCGAGAAACGATAAATAACGCACTCGGCACTCGGTGATGAGTTTCTCCTCCTGAATCACAAAAAGAGCAATATTTCATTGATACGAAGCACGAACTCTCAACTCCTAGATCGATCGATGCACTTACGTTCGGTGTAAGAATAGAGATCATGCTGGGCGCGACAGCAACGTTCACGTTTCGCCACTGATTGATAGGCGTATTAGTTACGATGTGATCTATCGCGTCATTCAGTACCTCCATCCCGGTCGCCTGAGTAACCTGCATGGATCCGAGATATTGTGCTCGTAGTACTTTCTTCGGCTCCTCCATTGGCGTTGGGAAAGATTGCGCTGAAGACAGATCGATCTTTTTACCCGATCCTCTCGTGAAATTAGGTCGAACATTATAGAAACATTTTTCTGATTACTTACTGACTAGCGCTTGTCCGTTTCTGTGGAAGCGTCGATGCTCCGTGGGCAGATTAGTCGGTCTGGTGGCTAGACTCGTCCGACCGTTGATATCCACCGGTTTCGCTAGGTTCTGGTGCTGCGACCGCTCGATCATGATTTTCTTGCAAATGTCGCGGAGCGTGTTTGCGATCGTGCGCGCCGGGATGTCGCAACGGAACACGTGGCACATGTGCTTTCGAGTCGACCTGTCTCTCGCCACGTAAGCAAAGTCCCTGAAAGACAAACGACGCGTTGATACGGCAATTCATTGCGAAACGGAGTTCGCATTATTCTTCAAAGTGGCACTTACCTTTCACTGCACAGAGATCGTCCAGAAAGAGCATGAAAATAATTATGGGTCATTCAGATTTATTCAGACCGATGTTAGAATTGCGATCGTTAAAGATTTACTTACCGGCAATGATCTCTGCCAACACCCCACACCCTCACCGTGTGAATCGGCTGTGTGTTGAGTACAGTGAGATTCTCCGGGTCTATAAGCTTCAAGGCTCCTTCGTCCAGATCCATGAACAGATCTTTGCCCTGTATAATTAGAACAAAGCATTGTTAAGTTCATTTAACAATGCGATCAGACGGAACAAAGCGAACTGATACTAACATCGCCCCATCGGCCAACAACGTCCAAGAGATCGTTTCTTCCCAACGACAGATCCACGATACACTTGTTGACGGCCTTGCTGCTTCTCTCGGGCGTCAGATCTTCTTCAGCGATTTCCGTCCACCCCAGAGAGCGAACGGCGAATCTGATAGGTTTGTCTCTACCCTCGGAGTCCGCTCGTGCAGGGTAGCTCCTTCGCCTGAAAGGTGAACAGAGAAAGAGAAAGGATGAAATGAACCGTTGCATGGAAGAAAAGCGACGGGATAAGTATATCGATGATATCTCACTTGAGTGCCAGTTCCACTTTTCTCTTATTTTCCAGCTCTTGATCCAGAGCGGAGCTCGTGTTACTCCGGGTCACGGTGTTCACCATGCCGCTTAGAGTGTGAAAATTGTTTATCTGAAACATTTAATCCCAAAGGTATCTCACTATATGCATATTGAAAATTGAAGAAATAGAATATAAATTACGATCTCTGTATACTCACGCTATCGTTGTCTTTAATGAGGCTCTTGCGAGATTCCCTTTTGGAATGCAGGGGCGCCTCCGGAGGCTCTCTCTGAATATTCCCACTTTTAACGTGCCAATAGTACGGGCCATTCTCGTCTGAAAACAAGTTCGATTGTTCACCCATTCTGTCTAAACATCAGTAGCTTGCAGTTGCATAAACTATTTGCATTCGTTTTTCGTTGCAACACACATACATTCTAACGTGGTTGAACATTCGCTTTATGGTTGATGGCTCTCTCCGTCGATACTCACCCTCGTGCTTTTGCCATCCGGGCGGCAGATTCTCATCTTTGTCCTCGGAGTCGTTGGTATCCACCTCCGTCGGCTTCTCTTGGGTATTGTTCTGCAGAGTGGCATTGTTCTTTTGATCCTTCGGCTGTCTCCGTTTCACAGGGACCGCGTACAGCTCGCTATTCAATGCACCCTCCACGTGCGGAACACCTCCCATCTCCGTCGTTTCGTTATCCGGTTTCTCGCAATAACTGCAATATCCGACGCCCCAAAATCACCATGCAAATTCGTTTTTCCTTTGCATCTTAATTATTTTCTTTACTTCAACAATTTGCTTCAAGCAAAACGAGTACAATTGTCAAGCAACGATGCTAATTTCAATGTTCTACTTTTATGAAAATAATTTTCATACGATAATAGCAGACAATAATTAATTCAAGCACGGTATAACAAATAAAATGATTATTGCGCGGTTAGTAACAAATTAAATCAGAAAGATTCGCTACAGCTGGGTCATCGGTAACATTTACTTATAAATCTCTCGCTCGTTCGCATGATTTCCGTATAATTGGCTATCACTATCAGCTGGCTTGTAAAAGTTTATCTCGATCGCAGTACTCGCTTGACAGTGACGGATCGTATTTTCGACGGTGATTTGACGTGTCATCGGGCCCTACTTATTGGGAATAGTGCATCGCTCATGATCAATGCGTCAACGGAGAATAGAAATTTTTATGCGAACCGAGTAAGAGAAACCGTCGATAAATCAAACCCGTGGGACACTTCTCTCGGAAAGTGACAACGGCGCAGAGTTTCTCGTATCTCGCGGTGATCTATTACTTTCACAGCAGTGACGAAATGTTCTACATTGTAGATTCTACAAGATGCACAGGACGGAGAAGTGAATTCTATTTAAGGATTTATTGGCTATACAGTCAATCCCAAAAGTTTATGCATTTTAGAAACGCATTTTTTAAAAAGAAATCAGAC